TTATTATGTCATTCTGGCTCCTGTTTGAGAGAAGGGACACTTGGGGTCTTTTCATGGAGGCTTGTTTTTCCTAGATGGCATCCAAATGCAGCTTCATTACACTATCATATTGGGCCAATGTTTTCACAAGTTCAATAAAGTTGCCTTGGTTGGCACTTGAGCTTGACTCATCATCTCCTCTAAAAGCTTGCCCCTGTCGTGCCAGATACAAGGAAATATCAATCAAACGTGTTAGGATTTCCCTGTTTCTTTGTCTTTCTCTCTCTCATGTTGCTCCGATGTATCAAAAGCAGCTTGTAGAGCTTTTTTGGAGTATATGTTCTATCTCACCATAAATTAATATTAAATGTCTGCATGTGGGCAGGATCTGTAGGACAATTCAAAACGGATTAGTTTTGCAATTGCATCCTCTTTATTTGCAGTACTTCTATGCTGGCTTTCTTCTCCTGCTTCTCCTGACTGTAACTCTCCTGCAGTGGCTCCAGTCTCCACATTTTTCTGATCTATACTAGCAGTTCTATACTTGCTTTCTTCTCCTGCATCTCCTTCTTGCAACTCTCCTGCAGTAGCTCCTTGATCTTGTTCACCAGAAAATTCTTCCACATCATCTATCACATGTGAGAAAAAGGTCCATTTATTTTGAAAAGAGAAGACTAATAAAAAGATATATTTCTCTATATGAAATAGTTCAATAAAGTTGCCTTGGTTGGCACTTGAGCTTGACTCATCATCTCCTCTAAAAGCTTGCCCCTGTCGTGCCAGATACAAGGAAATATCAAACGTGTTAGGATTTCCCTGTTTCTTTGTCTTTCTCTCTCTCGTGTTGCTTTCCCCTGAATATTCGATGTATCAAAAGCAGCTTGTAGAGCTTTTTTTGGAGTATATGTTCCATCTCACCATGCTCATCATATGGGCCTCTGTGCTGGCATGCTCTTTAATTTTTCCAATGGCGCTCCTCCATGTATCTATGCCTACTGTCTTCCAGGCTGTTTTGTTCTTGAATTTTTCTTCTCTTAGAAAAATGCGACAACTAAAGCAGTACATGGCATCATTTTTGGGTGAATACTCCAACCATGGGCGATCTGTGTACCATCTCCTCAGGAAAGACCGTCCTTCTGCGTTTTTTGGGAATGTCATAACAGGCTGGCAAGGTCCGACTTTCTCACACATTTCAATATATCTGTCATTTAAATTAATATTAAATGTCTGCATGTGGGCAGGATCTGTAGGACAATTCAAAACCATTAGTTTTGCAATTACATCCTCTTTATTTGCAGTACTTCTATGCTGGCTTTCTTCTCCTGCTTCTCCTGACTGTAACTCTCCTGCAGTGGCTCCAGTCTCCACATTTTCCTGATCTATACTAGCAGTTCTATACTGGCTTTCTTCTCCTGCATCTCCTTCTTGCAACTCTCCTGCAGTAGCACCTTGATCTTGTTCACCAGAAAATTCTTCCACATCATCTATCACATCTTTTTCTAAATCTGAATTACCACTTTCTTCCTTTTCTTCTTCTCTGCTACAAACTGGCCTGATCCATGAAGCAAGTGAGCTGCTACTCTTGGCTGCCTGCTGTCACTCCCTCTCCTTCTTTTTCTTAATTCTCTCCTTATGAGGCATTGCACTGCAACCATCAAGTAATCAAAATTCACATCAGTACAAAAAACTGTTTTGATCTTTAAAACTGTCATGATTGATATGTAGAGGTCACTAGAGGGAAGCAATGCAATGTTGATTGAACTATAGGTCTACATGTTATACACCATTATAATGACATATGACAAAGGCTTTTAAAGACCATTTAATTTCTAAATTATATTTTACGATAGCTTGGCATTATACAGTGCAAATACACCTGGCCTTCTAGTAAAGTTAGCTTTACCAATTTGCCTCCTGGGTGGTTGTCTGTGTATTATTTGTCCTGTGTTTGTGAATTGATTGTGCACTCTCTCTTATTTAATTGTGTGAGATATTCATTTTATTTTTTTTCTCTGCTTTGCATACATACAGTTTGAAGAAAAATATTTTCTTTAGCTGTTTGGTTTTGTGAGCTAATTTTTATTATTTGGTTAACATGTTTATGTATGTCACCGAGAAGAGGGGAAAATAGAGATTAAAATAGGAGATTATACTATAGCCATACCGTTAGAATATCCCACATGTCTGCCTACCTTGTAAAAACTGTGTGGAGGACCAGGGACGTTGGTCTTTTATTACTATATTAATCAAATATAGTGAAAAGTACAGTTGAAGTGAAAAGTTTTAATTTGTCCCTGGCCTGAGCTGTTCCCTTCACTAGCATTATACATATATTAATACACACATTACACACACACACACACACACACACACACACACACACACAATTACATTCTGCATGATAAAATATATAGAATACACAGTGACCTGATGATTCTCATTGTGTAAAGTTTTTTTTTTTACTTAATACAACATTATTACAGTAGTAAAACCATGTTTTTCTATGTTTATACATGTGAAGACGAGCGGGGAATATACAATACTAGATTTTTTTTTTTTTAATCTAGCCAGCAAACATGCATAATATGTGACCATAAGCTATATATTATGATGAAATGTTAATAAATCACGTAATTTACATGTATCAGCAGCACATAGTCATCAAATCAAAATAGAAATTTCTTATAAATATATTTTTATAACTGACAAGGATCACTCAGTTGCTTTGTGTCACTCAAATGCAGTTGCACTGCGGGTTTTTGACCAGC